GTCCGAGAGGGTCGCCTTGGCCACGGACCTCCACTCCAGGAAGGGCGGCGGGCGCGAGCCCAGGAGGGGCGCCGACTCGGGCGATGGCGCGCGGCACCAAGTCCTCCTTCCGGTCGCCGCAGCAGCCGATGTGATGCCCATCATCTTCGCCGAATCGCCTTGAGGGGCTGCCAGCTCCGTCCTCTCGGGCGCGCGGGACCGCTCCTTGCCTGCGCAGAAGCTCGGGGACCCTGGCGCGGCAGGCAGCACCCCAGCCCCAGCGCCAGCAGCAGCGGGCCCCTCCTCGGCGCCCCCCCCCCCATCCACCTGCGGCTTGAGCTAGCGCAAGCCTCGGGGCGGGTTATCAGCCGGGTTTCTCTCCGCCGGGGCCCAGCGGACACGCGCGCGGTGGCGGCGCGCCGAGGTGAGGGCGCTAATCTCACGAAGAATGTCTCGAAGCTGGAAGGCCGACGATCGGCCATTCCCGGCGGCGAGGGCCAGCCCCAGGTTGTCGACCAAGATCAGAACTCGACGTCCGAAAGCATTCCGATCTCGAAGGAGATGTCGGAGCGAGCTCGACAGAGCGAGCTCCTCCAGCCGCAGTGTGTTCGCTGGGCCCCGCCGCGGGAACGACTCGATGATATGCCGCGCCTCCGGGACAGCGAATGTCGAAGGCCCTCGCCTGCTCATCAGTCCGGTGCAAGCTGCCCGGCAAGTCGTCAGACGCCAGCAGCTGCCGCAGCTTCGCCGAGGCGTTCTCGACCCCGAAGGCATGGGCTCGAGCGGCCGTGGCGCCCTGGCGGTGCCGCCAGCGCTCAGCCGCCCGCCCCCAGCGCGCGATCTCGTCCACGGCCGCCTCGCGCTCACAGACTCCGCAGCCCCAGTGCGAGGCGTCGCTGGCCGTGACTTTGCCGTGCCAGTTGGCGTCCGCGTGAGCCGCCATCAGCGGCAGCAAGTTCCTGACGTGCCAGAGCTCCTCCCTCACGGCCGGCCACAACTCGCCCTCCTCGATGCCCTTGGACTCGATGTAGGCGTGCACGGAGCTGAACGCCGACAGGGGAGACCGCTGAACCATCATGATCCAGGTCGCATGGCCTACCACGATCTCGAGCGCGTGCCCTGAGCGAGCACGACGGCCCAGGAGCTCCTCAATTTCCAGACGCAGCCTCCAAACGCGCTCGGTGGACACCTGCGCCGCGTGGCCGCGCCCGTCGGACGAGAGGCCCACGAAGTCCGTCTGGCACACGGGCCCATAGGTCTCCTCGTGGATCGCGAAGCCCTGGCTGGTGAGCGCCTCCGCGACAGCAGGCCCCGCATTGCCGACGTCCTGCTTCGGCGAGCCCATGACCATGAAGTCGCCGACGCACGCGGCCGCGCCCAGCGGGCGCCCCGGGCCCAGCGGGCGGGGGGGCCCCCGATCCCTCACGAGGACCGCGGCACGCTGGCCGCCTCGCGCGAGCCCCTCCTCCGTGACCAGCTGGCAGAGGCGCAGCGCCCAGCTCCAGCCCATCGGCAACACCGCCAGCGCTGGCACCAGGAGTGTCGAACCGCTGCGACCCCGCAAGCCCGCCGCGCCGCCGCGCAGCGCAGGTAGCCTGAAGCAGGGCCCCAACTCTTCTGGCACGTCGACGGCGTAGAAGGCGTTGCTGATGTCACCGCTACTGAACCAGACGACGTCGCACTCCTGCTTCTCCAGCTTCGCGAAGGCGGCAGCCGAGGGCAAGCGCGTTGACGGCGGCGGCATGAAATCGCAGTTCGCCAAGCTGGTGTCAAAGATGATCATCTGCCTCTGCTTTTCTTGACGAGTAAACCCACCGTTGCACTGCTCTCGTCGAGCGCCTCGGCGGGCACAAGGCGAGCCATGCCGCGACTCACCAGCCCAGCCACAAAATGTCCATGCACTCTGCGACCCCGAAGTGCAGGGTCTAGAAGAGGACGTAGAAGTCCGAGCTCAGACCGCAGGCCAGCCGCTGCAGCTAGAGGTCTTCGCACGTTGGCCGTCAGATCCCTCGACCAGGCAGGGTGCTCGGCTGGTAGCGCGTCGCCCAAGGAGACGGGCTTCGCTCCCGCAGCTGGCCAGGGCACAGCGTCCTCGTTGTAGGCCACGACCGTTGTAGCGCACTCGCCGCGCATGGCGGCGCTTCCGCAGAGCTCGCGAAGGCTCCCGCGGCGGCGTACATCAGCAGGACAAGAACCGACTGAGCAGTAGCTGCGCTCCAGGTGCTCGAGGCGCGTCTGCTGCACAGCGCTCGCGGCACCGTCGCTGGCCAAATCACGTCCAGCAAGTAAGTTAAGGGATCGGGTGCCGTCGTTGGCCCAGTCAAGAGCACGGCAACGGCGGTGAGCACGACGGGCGACGGCACGGCAGCCACCACCAGTCTGAGAAGGGACAGGGAGACGAGGCACGGGGAAGATGTCGCGCTGGCGCACCATCACCTTGCGGTCGAAGATGTGAAAGCCTGCACGCCCGGGGCCAGGGAGCAGCAGGCAGCCTTGATCAATGAAGCCGTCGTGGAGGTTAGCTGCCCTCCGCCCCCGTGGGCCCCCTGGCCCCCTGTCTCTCCATCCGCGCTTTGCGTCTCTCCTTGGCGACGGCGTTGATCCTCGAGATCTGCTCGCTGATCCAGGTTGAGAGAGCCGCGGCCCCCATGAGCCCTCTCGCCGGCGCCATTCCTGTGCGGTAGTACTCCTCGGCCTGATGCTCGTTGTTCCTTGCGCGTCCCCAGGGCGCGATCTCTGTGCCTTTCATCGCAGAATTGACGTTCTTGAGTCCAACGCCAGGCTGGCAAGAGCTCGTGAGGTCCAATTGGTTGTAGCACAGCGCCGTGTCGAACATCTTAGAGTATTTGTGACTAGCCGAAACGATGATGTCATCCAGCCCCAAGCGAAATATTAACCTCTGCTGGAAGTGGTGCCCGAGCACGCTCCCTCCATTTTCCAGCATGAAGTTTGCCACCCAGTGAGACGTCCTCGGCCCTGGCACGACCCAGTCGTTCCAGACCACGGCCCGAAGCAAACCGGCCCCCGAAGCGAAGGCCCACTGCCGCTTCTCATTGATGTCGTACTGCCCTGGGAGCGTACGGTAATCACCCGAGCCAGCGGCACCATCACTTGCACCGTCGGCTGCGACGGCCAGCGGCCCAACTCCCGCTCCAGCCAGCGCCGCGGCGAGCCGGGCGGGGGGGCCGCGCCAGCCCCGGCGGCACCTCCCGCTGCGGCCGCGGGCGCGGCAACCAGCCTGCCTCCAGCTGGCGACGCGGCCGGCGCGGCGCCAGTGGGTGCGCCGAGGGCGGCGGGGGCGGCTCCTTCGCCAAGAGCTCCGACACCGCCTCCTCCGGCTGCCCCGGCGCCGGTAACTGCATCTCCGCCTCCTCCGAACAACGCGGCGAGGCCGCCTGCTGGTCCTCCTCCTCCACGGCGAGCCCGCCGCCGTCCCCCACGCGCGCTGCTGCTCCCCTGCGCCGGCTCCAGCCGCCCCATCGCCGCCAGCGGCGACCACCGCTCCGTCACCCCCAGCTGCAGGATGCGCCGCAGCGACAGCGAGAGCAGCATCATGGCCAGCAAGGGGCACCCTGGCCTGCTGCGCGAAGGCCTGTAGCTCCGCGGGCGTCAGGGCCGCGGCGAAGTCATACCCTTTGAGCCCTGCTCCGCCGGCGGCTGGCGTGAAGTTCCCGTTCTCACGGATGAGCACACGCCCCGACCCCACGCGGTACCCGTGCCACACGTCGTCGTTGTCCTCCTGAGCAACTCGACGGGGAGGTCGGAGTCCGGCGAGACCACCACCGCGTGGAGCACCAGCGGTGCCGCAGCCCCCCCCGGCGCCAGGCACCTCTCCAGCTCCGCGCACAGCTCGCCAGCCAGCGCGGGGGTCGGCGGCGCGGCCGCCGGGAAGCTCCGCGCTGGCGGAGCAGGCGCCGGCGCCACAGCCGGCGGCGCGGCGGCCACGGGCCGCGCGGCCGGAGAGCTGGCGGGACCGCAGCTGGCCACGCCGAGCCCACGGGGAACGCCAAGAGCACCGCGCCCCGGGCCGCCTGGCGCATCCAGGTCGCGTGCGGGCTTGGACGCGCGTGACCTCTTCCGAAAAAGGCTTGGGCCGAAGCGGTAGCAGATGCAAGCACCGCGCGGCCCTCCAACGCTCAGAGATTACTGTTCAAGAACTCCCCACTATCATCCTCATCCTCATCATCATCATCATCATCATCAGCATCATCATCATCATCATCATCATCAACATCATCATCAGCAGCATCATCATCATCAGAATCATCACCGACACCATCACCATCATCATCACCATCACCATCACTACCACCATCATCATCAGCAGCATCATCATACGCATCATCACCATCGTCACCATCACCATACTCTTCATCAGCATCAGCTTCACCATCATCATCATCATCATCATCATAATCATCATCATCATCATCATCATCATCATCATCATCATCTTCATCTTCTTCGTCACCACCACCAACACCATCATCAGCAGCATCAGCATCATAAACATCACCATCACCACCACTGTCATCATTATCATCATGATCATAATCATCAACATCATCATCCTCACCACCAACTCCACTAGCGTCATCATAACCAACAAAAGGAACAGCATCAGCGTGATTGCCATCACCATCAGCATCATCATCACCATCAGCATCAGCATCATCATCATCAGAATAATCATCATCATCATCATCATCATCATAATCATCATCATCATCATCATCATCATCATCATCATCATCATCATCATAATCGGCATTATTACAAGCGTAACTATAATCAGCATGTTCACCATCAGCATCAGCAGCATCATCATCATCGTCATCAGTATCAGCATGATCATCATCATCATCATCATCAGCAGCAGCATCATGTGCGTCGTCCTTATTGTCTATGCCTCCTCTTCATCATCACATGTGACATTCCTCCTGTTCTGCCTTCTCAGGATGTTGGCCACAGCGCTATGATAATCCAGTCATATAACTGCAGCGGTGAACAGGCGCCGCGGCCTCCTCGACCGACGCCTTGTTCGCGATCGCCCCTGCTGCGGCCGGATACTGAGGAGCGTTCCGTCTTTGCCGAGGAATAGCAGGAGGAGAAATCACCCTGACAATGCCACTACGTGGAGACGTGGGGAGAAAGAAGGGAATCTGGGGAGCAGGGAGGGGGCAGGATGAGCAGGAGGGGGAGGAGGAGGAGGAGGAGGAGGAGGAGGAGGAGGAGGAGGAGGAGGAGGAGGAGGAGGAGGAGGAGGAGGAGGAGGAGGGGGAAGGAGGAGGCCCACCAACAATGAGAAAAGGGTAAGGAGAAGGAGGCAAAAGAGGCAAGCAACCCAAACCGTGTCCTGGGCAGCGAGTGCCGCATGTCTGGCGGATGGGAACACCACGCCGTCCCACGCCACGTCGCACGACTTCTCCATGCCGAGGAATTCGAATACACCTTCCCATAACTGGCCACTCCGTTGCCATCCCCATGCTCTCCACACCCTACCTTCAGGAGGAAGATGGGGATGATGGAGATTAAAAGGGAAGGCGAGTTGCGATGAGGAAGGGGGCACGAGGAGGGGGAGCAGCCAAAGGAGGGCAATGATGATAAGACACATGCGCGGGAAAAGGATGCCGAGTCGATGCGGGCGGTGATGAAGACTGTAAGACTCTACGTTCGGCTATACGCAAGAGTGACCCTGGGTAAGAGTGACCTTTGGTGCGCGGCTTTTGGGGGGGCCGCGGGGAGGCCAAATCCAGGCGCGCTAGCCGCTGCTACCGCTTCGTTTTCAGGCCATCTGAGGGCCCATCTGTGCCCGCACCAAAGGTCACTCTGGCGGAAGGTTACTCTTACGTCTAGTCGATGTAAGACTCTACGTTCCCTGTCGGCGGTGGCAGACCCCCGGGCAGCTGGGCATCTTGCACCAGCAGCCCCCAGACTGCGCTTTCCTAGGGTTTCGAGGCCGCGGCGCGCGGAGCGCGGCACCCTGCCCGGCTGCCGTGGACCCCAGAGGGGCCCCGAACCCATGGGGGCAAGCCGCGGGCCCGAGGGCGCAGCCACCCCGGTCGGCCCCCTGAGCGGGGTCGGGCTGCGCCCCCGTGTGTGCGTGTGCGTGTGCGTGTGCACGTGCATGCGCGTGTGCGTGTGCATTTGCGTGTGTGTGTGCGTGTGCGTGTGCGTGTGTGTGTGTGTGTGTGCGTGTGCGTGTGTGCGTGTATGTTTGTGTTTGTGCGTGTGTGTGTGTGTGTGCGTGTGTGTGTGTGTCTGTGCGAGCGCGTGGGGCGTGAACGTGTGCGCGTGCGTTGCCTGTAATATGCCGAGCTATAGAGAGAGCGCGCGTGCGGATCGCCTCTGTCACGCTGCGACGTAAAACACTGTGGTGTGTTGTGTGTGTGCGTTGTGTGTTTGATGTGTGCTGTGTGTTGTGAATATGTATATGCGTGCATGTATGTGTATGCGTGTGCGCGCGCGTGTCTGTGTGGGTGTGTCTGTGTTGTGAATACTGCGCTGAAGGTGTTAAGGCGTGTGTGTTGTGCGTTGTGTGAATGTGTACGTGTATGTGTATGCGTGTGCGCGAAAGTGTGCGTATGCGTGTGCGTGTGTGCGCGTGTCTTGCGTGTATGTGTTGATGTGTGTATGCGTCTATGTGAATATGCGTGTATGTGTGCGTTATGAGTGCGTGACGTGTTGTGTGCTGTGGTATGACATGTGCGTGGTGTGTGGGTGATGTGTGTTAAGAGTTTTGTGCATTGTCTGCTGTGTGTTGTGTGCGTTGTGTGTGTGTTGTGTGTTGTGGGTGTTGTGTGGTGTGTGTGTGTGCGTTTGCGTGTGCGTGTGCGTGTGCGTGTGCGGGTGGTGCGTTAACGCGTGCGTGTGCGATTGTGTGTGAACGTGTGCGTGTGCGTGTGCGCGTGCGTTTGCATGTGCGTGTGCGTGCGCGTGTGCGCGTGCGTGTGCGTGTGCATGCACGTTTGTGTGTGCGTGTTCAGGTGCGTGTGCGTGTCTGTGGTGTGTGCGTCTGCTGTGTTTTGCGTGATGTGTGTATTGTGTCTTGTGCCTGTTCGTTGTGTATGTGTCTGTGTATGGGTGTGCGTGTGGGTGTGTGTGGGTGTGTTTGCGTGAGTGACTGTGTTTTGTGTGTGTAAATGTGTGTATGCGTGCACGTGTAGGTTTACGTATGTGTGCCGTGTGTTGTGTGACGTGTGCTGTGTGTTGTGTGTGTTGTGTTCTGTGCGTGTTGTGTTGTGCGCTGTCTGTTGCGAATGTGTGTTGTGTGTGTTGTGTTGTGCTGTGTGCTGTGGTGTGTGTGTGTGTGTGTTGTGTCGGTGTGTTGTGTTTGTGTGCGGGCGCCTCGACCTGTGAATGCCCTCCGTTGCCCCCCCCCGTTTTCCTCTCGCGGCCGCCCGTCCGACCCCGACCCCCTGTCCAGCCCCTCTTGCCGCCAGACAATGAGCGCCTGCCGCCTCCTGGTCCGCTCGAGAATGCGCGCGGACGGCCTCTGGGGCGCTGCGACGTAACAAATGTGTGCGTGCAAGTGCGTGTGCGTATGCGTTTGTGTGTGTCTGGGCATGTGCGTGTGTGCGTGTGTGTGTGTGTGTGCGTGTGTGTGTGTGTGCGTGCGTGTGTGCGTGTGTGTGTGTGTGTTTGTGTGTGTGCGTGTGTGTGTGTGTGCGTGTGCGCGTGCGCGTGCGCGTGCGTGTGCGCGTGCGCGCGCGTGTGCGCGTGTGTGCGCGTGCGTGTGTGTTTGTGTTTGTGTGTCTTGTACGCGCGTGCGTGTGGTAGATGCGTGTGCGTGTGTTGTGTAATGTGTATGTGTCTGTGTATGTGTGGGCGTTTGACTGTGCGTGTGCGTGTGCGCGTGAGTGTATGTGTTTTGTGTCTGTTGTGTGAATTGTGTGTTGTGCACGTTGTGTGAGTTGTGTGATGTGTGTTGTGCGTTGATTGTATGATGTATGTTACGTGTGTGTTGTGTGTGTGCGTTGTGTGCGTTTTGCGTTGTGTGTGTGTGTGTGTTGTGGGTGTGTGTGTGTGCGATTGTTTGTGCTTGTGTGAGTGTGTGTTTGTGTGTGCGTGTGTGTGTGCGTGTGTGTGTGTGTGTGTGTGTGTCTGTGTGTGCGTGTGCGTATGCGTATGCGTGTGTTTGTGTGCTTCTGGTGATCCTGGTGATCGGACACTGCGGGGCGTCCGCGCCTCACCGCAGCCTTCGGGCCCGCAGGCCCTGCGCTGCGCTCTCGGACCGCCAGGCCTACTGAGCCACGACGGGGGGCCACTGAGCCTCCCCGCCCGCCGTGCCAAGGGACGCGCCCCCCCCAGCACCCCAAGGTTGCGGATCCAGGGCCCACTTGGGACCACGCCCCACCCCAGGCCCCTAAGCACGACAGTGCCGAGGGGGGCACAACAAATCCGAGGCTGCTCCGCCGAGCCCAGGCCCCGCCAACGGCGAATGCGGGGCCGAACCCTGTGAGGGGTGTGCCGAAATTGGTGCGGCGGACGCATGCGGACGGTGGCACTGGGGCCTTCGGTGGAGCTCCCTATGGGCCACGAAGCGTGTGAGAGGGGGGGGCCGAAATTGGTGTGTGGGGGGGACGCATGCGGGCGGTGGCATTGGGGCACTCGGTGGAGCTCCCTATGGGGTCACGAAACGTGATGTGCCGAAATGAGCGGGGGACGCATGTGGACGGTGGCACTTGGGCCTTCGGTGGAGCTCCCTATGAGGCCAAGGAGCGTGTGAGGGGGGTATCGACATGGGTGTGGGGGACGCATGTGGACGGTGGCACTGGGGCCTTCGGTGGAGCTCCTTTTGAGGCCACGAAACGTGTGAGAGGAGGAGGAGGAGGAGGAGGAGGAGGAGGAGGAGGAGGAGGAGGAGGAGGACGGAGGAGGAGGAGGAGGAGGAGGAGGAGGAGGAGGAGGAGGAGGGAGGAGGGAGGGGAGGAGGGAGGAGAAGGAGGAGGAGGTGGGGGGGAACTGTTCGGTCTTCGGCGGCTTGACTCAAGCAGCGCTCGAGCGACGGAGGGGCGCTTCCAGACAGAACAGCTGGAGGCTTCATGCGTCCAGGATGAAGTCGACGCCCGCCACGGCCGCGCCCCCCCCTCCCGCAGCTGCCCCACGCAGGCCCCCGACCGGGCACCAGCCCCAGGGGTCCGCCGAGGGAGGGGGATGCGGCCGAGCCCGTGTCTATTCTGGTTGGTGATATCGGACCGGCGGCAGCGCAGGTGAACAACCGCTGCCGATCCACTCGACGGTCGTCGGAGGGCTGCGCGCGGAGGCCTGGAACACGGAGTGGGGCGGCACGAATCAGCCCTGAAGCGTGCCGAGGCCACGGGGGGAGGGAGGAGAATGGGAGGAGGGGAGCGGGCGAGGACGAGGCCGAGGAGGAGCAGCACGAGGAGGGCCGGGAGGAGGAGCACCCCCCGCCGAGCTTCCGTGGCCTTCGCGGGGCCCGTCTCGCCTCGGCCCTCCCCGTCCCTCTTGGCAGCCCCAGACCGCGCCGCGGGCGCGCGGCGGCGGGGGGGAGGAACGCACTGCCGAGAGCGGGAGACGGGCGGCCGAGAGCGCGCGCGCGAAGGGCGGCACGGCGAGGGAGGCACGCGCCCCTCGATGGGGGCCTTCCAGCGCGAGGACGGGGCTCCTCCTCCTCCTCCTCCTACTCCTCCTCCTCCTCCTCCTCCTCCTCCTCCTCCTCCTCCTCCTCCTCCTCCTCCTCCTCCTCATGCTCCACGACCACGCGCGAGAGAGAGAGCGAGAGAGAGAGAGAGCGCGAGGGGAGGGAGGCCGCGGCGGTCATGGGAGGCGGCAGCGCGAGCCGAACCATGTCCCCCGGACAGCGCGCCTGCCCATCGAGCGCGGCGAGCAGCAGAGAGACCAGACTCAGCACTGGGCACCTGCGTTGAGAGACCCTGCCATAGGAAACTTCGGGGCACATTCGCCGTCCAGCTTGCATCTCCCCAGGCAGCCCCAGGGCGTCTGTGGATCCCCACGGCCTTCGGGCGACAAGAAAGGTCCGTCGGGCACCTGCAACGAGCCGGTCGCTTCTCAGAGAGTTCTCCCGCTGTACCTGGGGGGGTGCGGGCCCCGAGCGGGCCCCAAAGATCCCTCAAAAAGGCGCCGAGCCCCAGGGGCCCACTCGAGGGAGGGCCGGAGGAGGAGAAGGAGGAGGAGGAGGAGGAGAAGGAGGAGGAGGAGGAGAGAGGAGGAGGAGAGAGGAGGAGGAGGAGGAGGAGGAGGAGGAGGAGGAGGAGGAGGAGGAGGAGGAGGAGGAGGAGGGCCCCGCTGGCCCGCCCCGACCCCGCGCCCTCCCCGGCCCCGTCCTCCCTGGCCGCGCACCCGACCACGCAGGGCGCACCCGACCGCGCTGGGCGCCGCCCTGGATGGAGGGCAGACAGACAGAGGGAAGCCGTGCACAGCAGATAGGGAGCCCACAAAGGACGTACGCGCCCAACTATGTACATGAA